AATCTGCTTTAATTGAGCTATAATTTTAAAAAACCTCATGTACTATTTTTTCTATTATTTTAATTGATTTTCCAACTAATTTATAAAAGCACCCTCAATTTTTAGAAATAAACACGTAACTTCAACTTAACTCACAATCTCTAACTTCTGCTTTTAAATAAACTATTTAACTCATTCTTATTTATCTTGTATACGTATATATAGTAGACATTGGACACACATATTTACCTATTTGTATATAAAAATTAATTTTTTTTCAAATAAAAAAACTTAAATGAGCAACCCCATCAACTTTTTTTTTTTTTGTTTTGAGAGAGACAGAATTCAATTAATTTTATTGCATCAAGTATATGTATTATAAAAACAAAATAAAAATAAAAAAAGAATCTCATGATATCACACATCTTCCCCACCCCTAAACCCCACCCCCACCCCCCAACCCCACCCCTACCCCCCACGCTTTTCTTGTTCTTAGTATTTACTACTAAAATGCCACAAAAGATGCAGCAGCAGCTTAATAATGTCATCCCATTTCATTAATATGCCCCATTTTTAATTTTAATTTTATTTTATTTTATTACATATATGTTGTAATAATTTGTTTAATGCACATTCAGAAAAAAAAAATGGGATTTTCAAGAAACAGTTGCACCATCTCTCTTGATCCTCAACCTCCAGCCCAAACCCATGTCAAAATCGACGATTTCAGAGTAAAGTTCCAATCTTTACTCTACAAAATGATCTGGGGTTTCGCCGCCCCGCGCCGTCGTCGCCGGAGCTCCGGCGAGGACGGTCCAGAGGCGGCAGATTCCGGCGGCAAGAATTCTGAGTACAACAAAGCCTGGCTGCTGGCTGATTCCGGCGGCGGCTTCGGCGGCGCGGAGGAGCCACATTCTTCATTCAGGTTCAGCTTGTGCTCTGAGGTCGAGCTCGAATCAATGGCGGACACTTACACCAGCTACTCCTCCGCCGCCACTGTTTTAATGGTGAATTTGGACAACGGCTTCTCCGATTCGAAATCTGCAGAGATGAAATGGCGGAGAATCGAATCTCTAGAGAGAAGTATTTCTCCTCTTGCCCACTCTTTAATCCGGTTCAGTTATTCCCAAATTCGATCCGCCACCGGAAATTTCTCCAAAGGTTCTTTAATTTATTTTTTTAATTAGTAAAATAATTAATTGATTAATATATTTATTAATAATGATTTTTTTTATTATTTTTTTTTGTGAGTAGGGAGAGTATTGGGGAGAGGAGCATTGAGCTGTGTGTTTAGTGGAAGATTAGGGTTCATGCGGGCCACCACGGTTGCGATTAAGCGTCTCGATAAAGAAGACAACGAGTCATCGAAAGCGTTTTGTAGGGAATTAATGATTGCTAGCTCTTTGCATAATCAACACATTGTTCCGCTTGTCGGGTTTTGTATCGATTCCGAAGAGGGCTTGTTCTTGGTCTATCGATACGTTTCCGGCGGAAGCTTAGATCGATTCTTGCACGGTATATATATATAATTTCGTTTAGTTCTCGATTATTTAGTAAAAAAAATTCAAATTTTTTTTTTTCGTGTTGTAGGGAAGAAGAGGGGTGGCGCACTTTCTTGGTCCGTTAGGTATAAAGTTGCGGTTGGAATTGCGGAGGCGATCGAGTATTTGCATAACGGGACGGAAAGATGTGTTGTTCATAGGGATATTAAGCCCTCTAACATCCTTCTTTCTTCGAAAAAAATGCCTAAGGTGAACGAATTTAAATTTCGATTTCTTGATTTATTAATTATTATTATTGTGTGATTTTTGGAAAGCTAAATTTATTTCGAGTTTTTATAAGTTTGTTTGTTGTTTTTTACGCAGTTATGTGACTTTGGCTTGGCTTCATGGACCCCTGCACCATCGATACCGTTCCTCTGCACAACTGTTAAGGGCACGTTTGGGTAACGATCTCTACATTTCTAAGCAGACGAAGCACATATATGTTTCTTAGTTTTTTCAATTAATCAAGACTCGATTTTCTTTTTTTTAAATTTAACAGGTACTTGGCTCCGGAATATTTCCAGCACGGAAAAGTGTCAGATAAAACCGATGTTTATGCATTTGGAGTGGTGCTGTTGGAATTGATAACGGGGAGAAAACCAATTGAGTCGAAAATTGGATTGGGAGAGCAAAATTTGGTTTTGTGGGTAGGTCGTTTGCTTTTTTAAATTTACGCCTAATTATGCATTCCTATGAAGAAATATTAATACTGCATAATCTTTTCTTGGCTAATCTTATCGTGTAAACCAAACGGGGCCTTAAATTAATCAAAGAATCGGCCCGTCGACCGTCGTTAGTTTAACCGTGCAGCACTAAGATTTTCATCTTTGAATCTCAGTCTTAATTTAATAAACAAAATGCTGAATGCATGTGCTTGTCAGTATTATTCTTACAGGAAAACATGCATTTGTAAGAGAATCTTGGTTTTTTAAAATATGCACATCTAATTACCAATTTTAAAAGTACATTTATTTTTATTGGAATTTGTTTTTATTTTTAATATGGAAAATCGAGTTTGTAATACGAATTTCCCTGTTTTACCCTTTTCAGGCGAAGCCACTACTACAACAAGGATGTCTAGAAAAGTTGCTCGATCAACGGCCCAAATTCGTCGAAAAGAATTTCACTCGGATTAATCGGATGGTCGAAGCAGCAGCTTCGTGCATAAAGAATGACGACTCAACTAGGGCCGATATGAAAGAGATTTTGGCTATACTGAGAGGAGAAGAAGAATTGCAAAGAGGCTTGATTAGCAAAAAGAAGGCTATTTTGGCGGGAAATAGTAATGTAATTGACTATTTTAACCCTCAGTTGAAGCGGACAAAGAGCGAAATGAAGAGCCATTTTGCATTGGCAATGATGGGAGTCGAGTTCGAGGACGATACATACAAACCCGTCTAACTCGAATCCTTTTTCTCCGGTGTTCTTATTTGAATTTTTTATTTTTATTTTTTTCGTCGAGTAACCAATGTTTTTTTTTTTTAAATAGGGATTAACAAGTTTGATTTTGTATAGAAGTGAAATCCTAAAATAGGGAGAGAAGGCATGGTTGTTTTTTTGGCCAGCTTATGAGTGCAGATGAATATTATTTTTCTATAAGTAGTTTGATTATTGTCAATTGGGATTTTAAGTCCTGAGGGGCGAAATGCATTAAAAAATATTATGAGGGGCCTCCTATTTAAATTAATAGAGATTTGAAAAATATTGAGAGAGAGCATGCACCCCTTAGCTCTATGCTCGCTCTGCCACCAGGGTACAGAGAGGGTTGAAATTTTAGAAAAATAAAAATAAAAATACTATTTGGAATTCTTTTAGATAATTTTCCCCATACATGTTCAATAATATAATGCATATAATTGGCATCATCCCATGAGACTTTCATCTAATTTATGTAGTTGGCCACATGATCATAATTATTCAATGCTATATAGAGATTATATATAAATGTATATGTGTGTGTATTTATATAAACATATTATGTAGATGAAATTCAAATACAATAATATCCAATAGAAGCACTTATTTAATTCCAATACTATAATGTCAAATGGCATGAGCATGTTCTTAATTACAATCTCCAATAGAAGAAATTATTTAATTCTGACAAACTTTTTATTTTATTTTATTTCTTCCAAAAATACATTTAATTCCAAGTCCCCGACATTAGGTGGTGAAGAAAATTAAATAAAATGTTTTCCGAAAGGGCAACTAATTCTTGGATATTACACTTTAACTACCACAAACTACTCCCTTAGACCAAAAATAATTAAGAGAAGTCTTGGATATTAAAGAATGATTTATTCAATTATTCCTGATGAAATTCACCGGGTATAATATAAAGTATTGTAATGTACGATCTATTAATTAATCTATGCATCTCTCACACATATTCATTGTACTTTTACATGATCAGCTATAACGTTATAGAGATCATTGTATTTTACCGATCGTGACATGAAATAGATATGCTGAAGAAAAAAAAAGGGAATCTCTTTGATTTCAGGTAACTACAAATTCTTGTCTCCAGTTATTCTGTATTCAACCAGTTTTACACATGTAATTAAACATAAAACACACGATAAAATTCACCAGCTGCAACATATAACAAAACCTACCTACTTATAGTAATAATAAATAAATAATAAAAAATATACGGAAAATAACCCTAGAATATCTTGGCCACATCCTTAATCAATCCCCTATTGGCCCTGGCGAACTGCGTGAACTCCTCGAACGAAACATGGCCATCTCCATCTGTGTCGAGCTCGTTCATCATGCGCGTAACTTCCTCCGCAGTGACGGAGCCCAACGCCTTCAGTGCGTCTCCGAGCTCCGCGGCAGAGACTTTCCCGTCGCCGTTTGTGTCGCAGCGCTTGAAAATTCGCTCGCGGTCCAACACGTCTTGTGGATCTTCAGCCATTCTCTTTTTTCTTGATTTGTTGAGGGCTAGTAAAAAATAAGATAAAAATAAATAATTCCTTGTTAATTTTGTTTTTCTTTATAAGGAAATTGATAAATGGTAAAAGTGTTATCAGATGGGGTTTATTTTTATAGTGAGAATTATACTGTTGGATTGTATGGTAATCCTTGTGAGTAGGAGCGGTTGGTAGTTATACCTTGACCACCGGGAGGTGAGTTTATTTACTACCTTAGAATGGAGCAACAAAAATGGAGTACTATTGAGTCTAAATATTAGCCTCACTTTGGTTTATTTTCTTTTTAAAATTTCAAATATCACCTTGATATAAATATAAATATATATTTGTATAAATGGCAAAGAAATTAAAATAAATATAACAAATCATTAGAAGCCCAACAAAGGGACAATATATACAAGCCTTTACAAAAGGCCTATGGAAAAGAGTACTATTTGATCTTATAAGTTGATAGAAACATATATGGAATTTCGTCGGACCAACCTCCGACGCTCTAAAGTTGCATTTCACACAATCGACAATCCCGAGGAATACTCAAGATATATCGGGAGAATTATATTTGCAGTCCCTTAACTTTACACTAATTTCACTTTTCGTCCTCCATATTCTGATGTGAACAAATTTCACTCTCCATTTACTAATTTGTAAAACTTGTGGTCTACTCTGTCAGTGCATAATCACTTGCCTCGCACGTGACTTTTCCGTCCAAACTAACAGCAATTTCACGGTGGACGAAAATTGTAAACAAAAAAAAAAATGGTTATTTAAGGACCAATTTTGTGCCAGAAAAAGTTTAAGGACCATAATCTCAAATGGTATATAATATATGGACCAAAACTCTAATTATTCCTAAATTGTGGTATAAAAATTATCCATCTTTTATTGACAACATAACCTGCAACAATTCGAACTGTCCATTCAGTAAATTCAACACTCGTGCAATAATTCGTAAACCACACAAGATATATAAACCACACCACATTAATCAAATCTAGCTCCACCGACAAAGTGTGTCCAGTGCAACACGAACCCGTGTTGACTATCTTATTTCACGAACTAGGTCACTCCTTTCACAACAATATTTACCATCTTTTTTACATGGTCATGTTGTAAATGTGACAACATGTACACAATTGTGGATAACTACAAAAAAATCAAATAATCTTTGCACTCTTGTATTATTAATTATTATCAACATCAATACATAGTAATTCAATTTTGGAGATATTAATGAAACTATAAATTTAGTCAATTTTATTTTTATAGAATATTATATTACTCCCTCCATTCCATTTTAATTGTCTTTCTAGAGATTTTTTTTCATTCAAAATAATTGTCACTTTAGGATTCCAATGAAGAATTTATTGTGTTTTCTCAACTATGCCCTTATTATTAATAAGAAAGTCAATGGTTAAACATTTAATAAAAGTGGTTCTTTAGTCATTTTATTATGATTTTTCTAGAATCCACGCACATTTATTAACTTTCTTAATATGTGTGAATTAGCCCAAAAAGACAATTAAAATGGAATGAAGGGAGTATTTAGTTCCATCGTTTTCTGTTTCAACTTGGTCTTCCTAGTATTGGAGATATTAATATTAAATGATACATTTCACTAAAAGCTTAAGCTTTTGGTTCAGATGGTCATTCAGCATGGTATCAGAGCCATGCCAAATGAAAGGTCCTGAGTTCGAATCCCACAGCCACCTATTTAAAAATATTTCAAGTGCAATGCCTCAAATGTAATTCGCCTGCTCTTGAGATGACGTATTGGAGATATTAATATTAAATGATACATTTCACTAAAAGCTTAAGATTTTGGTTGAGATGGTCATTCAGCACCTAGTGGCCCACTTGCACAACTAAAACCTAGCATGCGAAGTACACGATCACAGCCAATTAATTCCTTATCCTGTTTTTTCAGTCAACCTTTTTGACCAATCAAAGAGCTGCACTCTCCTATCTCAACCGTCCATTACACCGTCGGTTTTTCATTGGCTGCAGTATTATGATAATAAAGTAAGCTCTCTTTGAAGCGTTATTTTCTTGACCAGATATTTCCAAGTGGATATTTTACTGATTTTTTATTGCATTTTCTTTTTTAATTATTAAATTTGTTTGGTTTATGATATGCCTATTGGCCCAGTTTTATAGATCCATATTTACTGGACCACAGGCCCAACTTAATAGCTACTTCTACGAAGGCCCAATCACATCCAAAGAAAGTTGGGCCCAATAAATTGATCTCAGCCCAATCAATAAAGTATAAATAGAACTTTAATTCATTTAATGAAGGTACACATTTTATTTTTCAATCACTCCCTCTACCAAAATTCTCTCAGCTATTATTGATTATCCGCACATCTGACTTGAGCGTCGGAGGGGTTTCCGCCGGATCAACCCCGGCTTAGATTACGTGTTTTCTGTTCGCAGGATCTTTGAGTAAATTAAAGTTTTCAGAACTATCTAGATCGTGAGCACGTGACCTACTTTGCTCTCCCAGCTTCAACACTCCAGGTGATTTATTTCTTACATCATCAGTTTGCAAATAATTAGTTTTTACTTTTTACAAGTGTATACATTCAACTTACGCATTACAATTTCCAGGTTACAAATTATTATTTATGGGTGGAAAAACGCTCTCTAAAAAAATTTGGTATATAGTCGCTACTATTAGAGTAGAGGTCTAGAGTTCGAATCCTACTCAACCTCTGCTTTCACCGGTTTGTAGAGAATCTGAATACTACTTTAAAACAAGTTGGCTCTACAATATTCTAATCCTATCCTATGTGATATTTTTCTATTTATGCTTCCTACTTACCTTTTTTTTTCTTTTTTTTCTTTGCTTTAAATTTGTGGTGCAGTCTTTAAATAATCGAATAAGATGGCGTGTGAATAAGTTTGAAAATAGATTGTTATGTAATATATATATATATATATATATATATATATATATATATATATATATATATATATATATATATATATATAT